CTCCTCGTTGACTTACCAGATATCTAAGAAATTTACCCGACTCCACTCCGAAAATGCACTTTGCGGCATTCAGCTTCAGCCCGTACTCCCTGAGAGTAGAGAAGGTATCCGCCAAATCTACCAGGTGGTCACAGTTTCGTTTGCTCTTCACCAACATATCATCAATGTAGACCTCCATGGTGTTGCCGATCTTTTTTTTGAACATCCGATTCATCAGTCTTTGGTATGTTGCTCCGGCGTTCTTCAGTCCAAACGGCATCACTTTGTAATAATAAACTCCCTTCGAGTGATAAACGCAGTTCTTTCTTGATCCGGGGGGTGGAGAAGGATCTGGTGATATCCTGCTCGGGATCCAAGAAGTCCATGCATTGATATCTGGTAGTGGCATCTACTAACTGATCCACCTTTGGCAGGGGGTAGTCGTCCTTGGGACATGCCTTATTTAGATTAGTGAAGTCTACGCAGACACGCCATTTTTCCCTCTTTTTCTTCGCATAGACCGTGTTAGACAGCCATTCAGGGAACTGTACCTCCCGGATGGCATTGGCCTTTAGGAATTTATCGATCTCTTCGTTGATCGCTCGGGCGTGGTGCAGTGCCATGCGTCGTGGCTTCTGCTTTACTGGCTTGTGCGCGGGGTCAACATGCAGCTTGTGGGTGATAATTTTGGGATCCACTCCCTTCATCTCCATTGCGTTCCAAGCGAACACGTCTACATTTCCCCTCAAGAAGTCAATCATTTCCTCCTGTTCGGCTATGGGCATCGCAGTTCCAACCAAGAAATACCTTTCCTCTTTTCCCTCCACCAAGGGCACCTTTCAGAGGTCCTCCACCGACCGTTCCGTTGGGTCAATCTGGGGGTCATCCATTCTTGGACGCTCAAACTGTGATTGCTATTTTTCCAGGATCTCTTCCGGAGGGCGCTCCTTCTCTTGGGTGAAAACCCCCGCTCTTACAGCCGAGTAAAAATAGTTCTTCGTAGACGCTTGATCCCCTCGGATCTCCATGATCCCTTCTGGCGTAGCAAATTTTAATTTTTGGTGATAAGTGGAGTGTACCGCTCCCAGGGCATGCAACCATGCTCATTCCGTGATCACATTATAGGGAGAGTCTGTATCGATCACCACAAACTCCGTATTGATGGTGAAGGGACCCGTGACAATTGGCAATGTGATTTTGCCTATGGGCAAGGCGAATGAGTCGTTAAATCTGACGAGAGGGGTCCTGACCTTGGTGAGGTCCTTGAGATCAAAGCCCATCCGCTTTAAAGTTTCTGAGTACATCACTTCGGAAGAACTTCCGGAGTCCACCAACACCCTCTTGACGTCGAACTTGCCTATCTTCAGAGTTATGATTAGGGCGTCATTATGGGGAGTCACCACGCCTGCCAAGTCCGCGTCGGAGAAGGTGATACCTGTTTCGCCGATCCTGGCCTTCTTGCTGAGCGGGCCCCCCTCGCTCTCGGCAACCTTTCTTGTAAAGACCACTCTCTTGAGGTCGGACTCAAGCTCCTTGGATGTCGGGCGATCCAGTAGACATACATGGATCACGTCTATGACATTGTCTTGCGCCACGGCCGGTCCAGGATCGCGCCTCTCTTCTGTCTTGGGCTCGATGTATTCTTTTAAGTAGCCGTCCCGGACCAGTCATTCTAAAAAAGACTTGTATACCCTGCAATTTTTGGTGCGATGGCCAAAATTCCGGTGATAGGAACATTTAACCCTTTGATCACGGGTGGCAGGATCACTCTGCATCCTAGGCGGCCACTTGAAGAATGGCTCATGCTTGATTCTATGGAGTAACCTGTAGATGGGTTCTTTGAAGACAGTGTGGACACCTCTAAATGACCCCCTAGAGGGGGTACCAACCCCTTTCGGGAGATGTCCCCCGCTTCTTTCTCTTTTCTTCTAGGTGGGAGAGTTCTACCTTTGTTACCCTCCATTTCGTCTTCAACCCTGGAGTATTTGTTTATCCGGGCCATCAATTCGCCCATATCCAAGGGAGTCTTTTTGGTTAGAGATCGGTACAGGTCCGTGTCCCTTGCCAGGCCGAGCCTAAAGGAGGTGGTTGCCATGACTTCTGAACACCCCTCTACATCATTGACCTCCTCCCAATACCGGGTGGCGTACTGGCGAAGGGTTTCTTGTTCCTTCCGCCTGAGCGTCAATAATGACCCAATGTCTTTGGGCCGCTTGCTCCCCATGATGAATCGGGCTAAAAACTGCCTCGCCAACTCCTTCCATGACCCAATGCTGTTGGGAAGAAGAGTCTCGAACCACTTCATCGTGGAATCTCCCAAACTCATGGAGAACACTCGGCAGAGGAGCCGTTGGTCCGAATGATACAGGGACATCATTTGCTTGTATTGCCTGAGGTGAGCTTCTGGATCGGATCACCCATCATAAGTTTTAAATCTCAGCACGATGAACTTCTTTGATACCTCCATCTCTCGGATGTCCCTGGTAAAAGGTGATTGCATGGCCTTGCCTTCCGCGTCATCCTGGATAGCCTTGCCCCTTCTTTTGGATCCTAGCCGGGCTCTGAGATCAACTTCCACCTCCGAGGGATGTCTTTTGAGGTTTCCAAGGTCATCGACGGGGCTCGCCTTCCCCGGGCGTCGTGTGGAAAGGGTTGAATCCTCCTCGGACTCATCCCCCTTCCCGCGCCTCGACAGTCCTCGCCGGAGGTCGTCCCAGGCTAAAGGTCTTGCCTTCCTAGCCTGACCGTTGAGGGGTGGCTCGTTGGCCCTTGGGTGCTTCGGGACCCTAGAACTCTCAGCTTTGTTGTTTAAATGATTCCTCAGGTCCTCGATTTCTGCTTCCCAGACGGGGCGTTCGCGGGAACGGAATGAGTCCCTCGATCCTTTGTCGGAGGCGACAAATTCGTCAAGCCGGCTTAGGACATTCACATTATCTTTCTCCAACTATAGTAATCGATCCCCAAACTTTTCTTCAATCACCTCCGCTAGTTGACGAGCCAAGGGGGCGGATCCTCCTGACTTGATGCCTATACTGGTTTGAGGAGTAAGCCCCATTGACTGAATAGAGACGTTTCTGTTGTCATCAGCGTGACCCTTCCCTCCATTATGACGAGGAGTTTGCAAATCGAGACTTCTTTACTGGGGACCTTTCCCTTTTTGTCGAGTATTCACCATGGTCACTGTTCGTTATAGAGAACAAACTAGGAAAACTAGTCGTTTCCCACAGACGACGCCAGATTGTGCGTGCAGGATCTTGCACAATATAAACACGAGAACAGATCTCTCCCGTGGTAAACTCGAGTCAGTCAATCAAATGGTCAACCTTGCTATTTGGAACAGGCTGAGATCCGTTGGTGGCCTGGAACAGTAATGGGTGACTTTCGTGGATCAGAGAAAGACAAGTTCGAAGGGCGCCGGAGTGTTTTCCGACGTATCCCCTCCGACGATCAAGTCAGTTTTTGAGAGAGGGGAAGAAGAAAACACTGATTATAGGTTTGAGAAAAGGGTTTTCGTTGCATACTGTCTTGTCTTTTGTGAGGAGTATTTATACCTCAAAAACTCATGATTGTTGTCAGTGTGGTCAGTAGGTGATCATTAGATACGGGCAACGTGTGCACTGATTCCTATGAGAAATGTCTTCTCTTTTAACTACTCGAGATCCTGAGCAATTAAGGCTGCATCATCGGCCTATCGACTGTTTAATGAGCTACTCTCGACAAGGATATAATAAATGCCCAGTCTTAGGGATATTTATTACCTTTCACTTCCGAGCCTTATCGCATTAAATGTTGTCTCATCAAGGGAATGGTGTAATTAAATGCTTACTTTCCCAAGTCGTGTGTCAGCAAGGGCATCCGGTCTTTTTGTCTCTGATGTGACACAATATGCCATGCGTCCATTCCCCATTGGTTGTGTCTTCTGACTCCTTGTGCCTTCTAACACCAATTGTGTAAGACGAGGTCATGATGGCTAACCTAGCCTAGCCTAAACTAGTGACCTGTACATCAATAGCCTCTGTAGGGGCAGAGAACGCCATCCTGGACGGTATATCTCGGTACCGAGGGGGAGTGGCACATGTAGGGACCGATGTACCCATATCCGACCGAGCAATACGTGTCGGTACGCAACGTACTGGGTGTCATTGATCCCCATGAACAGTACCTCGGGGGAACAGGGACTTGTGATCCGACGGGTACGTGTCGTGATTATAGTAACAAGAATTACTAATGCCGAGGACACGTGTCTTCATCTTGGAGTACTTGAAAATGTCCCATCACAATACAATCTAGATTCCCTATAGTTAGGTTCAGTTAATGATAGATCACTTAAGTATATTGGTGAAAGACCCATTAGTTTATAGTGGATCTCCATTTATTTCTTTCTTGAGGGGAATCCAATTCCTTCGATATGTAGTCACAATGAATTCCACCCAGAACCACATCTCTTACCATTCTAAAATTCTATTCTTGCTCAGATTTTCCATGAAAAATTAGACAAAAGTTAAAGATTGGAGAAATGTGAAAATAAAACCAATAGCTTAAGGTGCAACATAAGAAAGGGAATAGTTTAGGGGTAATGTAAATTGAGGGGAGTAGTTCAAGGGTCTAAGTGCAAGCTGCCCAAAGAAAAATTAAATAGGTCATACTATGCTTACCAATTTTTCTTACCAAATCTCCATCCTAAATAACTTGGTATAATTTTTTACCATCAAATAAGTAGGTTCAATTAAATATTTAATGACGTAAATTATGTCACATCATTTGGGATAAAAGATTTGATAAAAAAATTTAATAAGCATAACATGAATATGAATTCGTGGATAAGTGGGTTCCCTTGGGGAAAATTAATGGAATCCTCTAATTTAAGGATCCCTATTTATTTAGCATTCAAAATTTGGAATAGCATTGCTTGAAGATCTCAACTGGTTTAGTTGTCCAGGAATACTAGGTGCCTAGGCCAGTTCACAAGTGAATTGATTATTTGTTTGTGATATGATGTTGAGATACTGAACACTTACACATCAAGTGCTTAGAACTTCTGAAACAAATTCTTCAATGTTTATCGTAGAGCTTCCGCCTTCATCTACTGCTTCTTTAGCCAATTCCTTCAACTTCACAACATTTCTTTTAAGCTCCTTCCCTCTTTCTCCCTCCATGACTTCGTTTATAAAGTTCTCTATTTCTTCCCTTATAACAGTTCCCTTTTCATCAACCTTTAGTCGAATTCCCACTTGCCATACATCCACAATAAACTTTGCTTTAGTTGGTTGATCTGTCCACTGTGGCATCGCCAACAATGGCACTCCCAAGCTCAATGCCTCCAGTGTTGAGTTCCACCCACAATGAGTCATAAAGCATCCCACAGCGTAGTGAGCCAAAACTTGAAGCTGAGGACACCAATTCACAACCAAACCTTTTTCGGATTTCAAATCCATAAAAGTACTCGGAAGCTTACACTCTTCGAAAGTTCTGACCACCCAGAAGAAGTGGTTGTTGCTGCTCATAAGGCCCATGCTAGTTCCTCCATTTGATCTTTTCCAAGGTCTGCAGTGCTTCCAAACGATACATAAACCACAGATCCAATTTCTTTGGCATCTAGCCACTTCATACAAGTTTCTGCATTTGTATCAAAGAGACTCAAATCGTAATCTTTGTCATCTTCCAACTACTTGTCCAAGTACATTGACAGAATCGTTGGTCCTATGGTCTTGATCTTTGGCCATTGGCTTGCCATCCATTTCACAACCTAACCCAATTAGACAAGAAGATTTATCCTTGGCCTACTACGACCTTAAGAAGGGGTTAAGCAGAAGCATCATATCCTAGACAAACCAATATTATGTATCTTGTGTATCAACTCATAAACCATGTCATTGCTAGAAGATTCAATTCCCATTCAGAGACAGGCAGTCTCCCTATTTCCGAGGTCAGTAATAGTGAAATGTTTTCTTGTAACATCAAAACCGAAACTAAAATCACATCAAAGTATACCTAGATAACATCTAATCTAGAAGATTACGAGAAGACATAATCAAGAAAACTATGCTACTTCAATTTTGCCATAACGTTCCCGTGTTTTCTTATATCATTTTGTCTTCCTTTTTGGTGGGATTCCTGTATGGCATTAGATAAAATCTCAAACAGAGATGCTAAATGTTAAAAAATGTCAAAGAAAACTTTATTTTGCCAACACTTAATCTGTTACTTTTTAAAAGGTAGTTTGAGACACTTGATTGTTAATGGTTTTGGATTTGTATGTCAATTTAAATACCCGTCGGGAACGGAATGAAAAATTTACCTCATCTTCTAGCTTGTCATATGTGTTAATCAAAAGCCAATCCGCATCCTGGAAATTCGAGAATTGATCGACGAGGAACCTCAACGCATCGGGGTATGAGACATTGTCATAGATGAAAAAGGGTAGATCTTCGTTCCTCAGGCGTGGCATGGAAGGCAATGATACCGTAAACCCCTTTAAAGATGTTTTCAAAGTCCCTTGGTGCATATGGTAGTAGATAACACAAACAGCACAGGATTGAGTTAAGAATGAAGCTCCACATACACCTAGCTTGTGGGCTATTTCTAGAGCCCATGGCATGATTGAATCATATACAAGGACTTTGACAGGGTAGCCAGTGCTTTTTTGCTTCTCAATGAGCTCGGGCAAACATTGCCAGAGTAGTAGCATCATACGTTTGATGAAACCAGCATGGCCCTCCAGTTTCTCACCTTCATCAAAGCCATCGGAAATAGACTCAATCTTGACCGAGCTGGTTTGGGATTCCATAGACTTGCTAATGGTGATGGTGACCAGAGTGACCCTCAGACCTTTCGAGGCTAAGCGCTTGGAGAATTGCAGCATTGGATTTATGTGACCTTGTACAGGGAAAGGGACAACTAAAACGTGAGTTCTGCTAGCCATCTCTTTTTTATCCATCCTCTCTCTTTCGCTGTGTCTCGAAATGGTTTTTATTCAGCAATTGGCACTGTTGGTAGGAGAAGGTCAAATTCAGAAGGGTAGATAATGAATGTTAACATAATTCGTGGTGGTTCTTATACTCAAACCCATGCTCTTAGTGGCAAGTATTCGTGATCATTAAAATTACGTTGACCAAATTTTGAGATTAAATTTGAAGTCTAAATAATGTGACAGCATATTATTTAGAATCTTTATTGGGACTCAAATGACATGACACCTCATAAAAAAGCTCAAGTCAGCTTTCATGTCATTTGGTCATTGGTGACAATTTTAACTCATTACTCATTACTCATTAACACGTTCATGACTAAATGAGTTGAATACTTATAGATGTGATAATTTTAACCTATTATTACTTAACCTGTCCAACCCGTTCATAAATAAATGAGTTAGGTATCTATATTAATGAATGAGGTTCCAAATGTATTGGGTAATACGATTCATTTTAATTAAGCGGGTTAATATAGATAACAAATAGGTACCTATTGAGTTGAGTATTTATCTTTCTATTACATAATACAAGTAATAAAATCAAATAAATATGCCAAAATACACACACACTAGTACACCAAAAGCACACACACACACTAATACATCTAACCCGACCCATAACCCACCCTTGACACTGACCCATGACCCGCTCCACAACCCAACCCATGACAAAAATAATAAAATAAGAGTGTTTTTTTTGTGTGTTAGTATATGTGTGTGTATTTTTAATGTATTAGTGTGTATTTTAGGCATATTAGTATGTGTTCATATTTTATTTAATTTATGAGTTAATGGGTTTAACCCAATTCATTATGACCTAACCCATTATAATCCATTTACTAAGCGAATTAAAAATAGATTGAATTTGTTTTACACTCAACCTATCTTGAAAATCCATAATCAATCCAACCCACGCATTTTCCACCTCTAACAACAAGGATGAGGGTAGAAGTAAAAGTGTCGGCTTTCCAATACATATTAACAGCATCAAATGATGCCACCAAAGTTTATGTTTGTCCCACAAGAGGGAACATTTTGGAGCTGTATGCTTGACGTTATATTGAACATTAGCCAATGCCTGCTTTTAAAGACACCATGTTCTTAAAACTAACATTATTTCTGCATTGTACTTCACTTAAATTTACTGCACTAGTTGTCTACCAAAACTTGACAAGTACAACAAGTATCATCTTAATATAAAAACCAATATGATTTTAATAGAATTCACAAAAACACAATTATTTTGTAACTAAATTACAAAAAAATCAAATACATTTAATTATTTTTGGAAGTCTAGTTTTTAGGAGGAAATCCTTGTCAAATATTCAACCATCCCATATAGACTTCCTCATTCATTTATTCCAAAAAATTTGTCTTGATAGATGAATATCCTTTCTTTACGGAAGGTAAATATATTCATAAGAAAAAAAAACTGAGGTGATGCTCACATGACAATGCATCCACCCAATACAAAAGTAGAACCAAAAAATTTACAACAACCAAAAGTGTAGAATTTTAAAGAAAGTGCCAGCCTTGAGCTGGTACTTCTAGCAGAATCCAGACTCAAAGGAGACAAAGAAAGCAAAGAGGCTTCCATCAGATAATATGGAAAGCCCAATGCCAACATACATTCCAACAGCCAAGTGGGAGAACAAATGGATGAAGGAGCCAGAAGAACCTTTCATGCTCTTAGGATGAACTCCTCATAGCAGAGCAAACATGCAGCAATCAAGGCAGCATTCAAGAGCAGTGAAACAAGAAAGCCATGAATAGTGCCCAGCGACTGTGGCAGGCTGCAATGGAGACTAGGCAGCAGACACCATAATAAAAGGCAGCTGAGGGGAACCAGCTGAAACAACAGATAAAGGTCATCAACACTCTGCTGAAGAAAGAAGAAAACAAAGGAGAAAGGCTAGCAGCTGCATTAAACAAGCTATGCACTTGAACAGTGCACGTGAACAGTGCATTCCTGTCAACAAAAAACTTCAAGGCGCAGGAGACCCCCAACAACATGATCCATCCCAAAGCAAATGTCCCCAGAACCAACACAGCAAATAGTGATTAACCATGATCATCATGTATAAGGGCACCCCAGTGCGCAGAACAAGCAACAGCTCTTGCCTCATCCACAAACGCATGACATTCCTAGCACATATCATTTGAACCTAAGCCACAACAAGAAGCTGTCAAGCTTGAAGGAGAGACAAGTTTTTAGGAGAACTCTTGAATTTGATTGTGACTAATCTATCTTTGATGATTTGTAAGACACACTTCACAAGACTTCTACAATCCCTAAACTGGTTTGTATGGAGTCTTCTATTCCTTTCCTTCCATATTATATACACAGTAGTTGCCAAACATAGCTTCTTTAACACCTTACCAAGTGACTTACCTTTCCAACTTTGACTTGCATAATTGATGAAATTCTGCCAAGAGCTCGGTAGACCTTGTTCACCACACAGTTGCATAATAAAAATCCAAATATCTTGTGAGAACTGGCAACTAAAAAAGAGGTGAGAATGAGATTCCATGTCATGCCTACATAGGATACATGTCACATCAACATCCGTCGCAATTTTTTGCATTCTATCTTTAGTGCTAAGCCTTTCCTTTATTGCTTGCCAAATAATGAAGCTCATCCTGGGTATGCATTGTCCATACCATAGCAGATGGTGCCAAGGTACCTCTTGCCCAGGGGCCCTAAGGTGATCCCAAGCCAAATAAGAAGAAAATTGCCCATTTGTTGCTATAGTCCACTTCACCTGGTCTTCCTTATTTGTCAGAGGAATATATGTAGGCATATGATTTGAAATCTCCAATAGATCAAGTGTACCTGTGGAAGGCCATGACCACCTATTGTTGCCCACGATTGCAGCCATGTTAGCATCCTTAGGTAACCCTGCATGATTAATAACATTATCATTCCATCTAAGTAGAAAAGGACCATGAGGGTGCCAATTATCCAACCAAAGGATAGTACTCTCTCCATTACCTATAACATGTTAAATTAGAGGTCTAACTATTGGTCTCAGTTTCAAGAGGTTCAGCCAATTCCAAGAGCAAGAGTGAGGTGGCTTAACTTCCTAGATGTTTTTCCCTCTTGAATGGTAAGAATGAATCCATTTCATCCAGAGACTTTCTTTGTCCGTAAATAAAATCCACAAATACCTCATCATCATTGCCATATTCGTCTCCTTAAGTCTTCTAATCCCCAATCCCCTTTCTTTCTTAGGTCTACAAATGTCCACCCAAGCCACTTTGGCTCTAGTAGGCTTGAGATCAGTCCCCTTCCAGAGGAATGATCTAAGCATTCTTTCTAATTTATCAAGAACCTGTTGGGGAATAAAAATGTGGGCTAACCAAAAATTTTGGGTGCTATTGAGCATAAAGGTAATCAATTGAAGCCTTCCAGCAAAGGATAGAAACCTGTTGGTCCAATTTTTCACCCTAGCCTCCATTTTTTCTATCAGAGCATCACAATATTGTCTCTTGAATCTAGTGGACACCAAGGGGATCCCTAAATATCTCATAGGAAGAGCACCAATTTGGAATCCTAGAATATTAGTAATCTTACCTTTTGCCTCATCAGACATCCCAGCCATGAATACATTGCTTTTCAAGGGATTAGCTCTAAGCCCAAAGAGGACTTGAAACTAGTCAATCACAACTTTCAAAATTCGTATAAACTGAGCATCTCCATGACTCAAAAATAAGACATCGTCAGCAAAAAGTAGGTGATTAAGAGTCATCTTCCTACATCTCCAATGAAACCTGAATGAGGGATTAGAGGTAATTTGCTGCAATATGACAGAACTAAAAACTTCCATAGCCGAAACAAAAAGGTACGGTGAAAGGGGATCGCCCTGCCTAAGTCCCCTAGAGCTTGAAAAAAATCCTGCCATCTCCCCATTTATATTAACAGAGAACCGAGGAGAAGTAATACATTCCCTTATCCAATTTCTCACCGTTTCTAGAAAATGTAAAGCTTCATGGACATCCAAAAGGAAATGCCAATCCAATGTGTCATAAACTTTCATAATATCCAATTTAATAGCACATCTAGGAGGACCACAATTTCTATGATAGTCTCTAAGGAGTTCATGAGTAAGCATAATATTCTCCCCAATTTTCCTTCCTAGAACAAAGGTAGTTTGATTAGAGCTTACAATACCTTGGAGCACAGCCTTCTGTTTGCCAGAATCTTAGAGATGACCTTATACAACAAGTTACAACATGAGATGAGTATGAAGTCCCCCATTGAGTTTGGATTTGGAATTTTAGGGGCAAGGGCAATCACAGTGGCGTTGAGCTCTTTAAGTAATTTTCCAGATCTAAAAAATTCTTTCACTGCAGCTATGAAGTCCCTACCAATCACTGGCCATGCCTTTTTGAAGAAGTATGCAGTAAATCCATTAGGACTAGGAGCCTTCATATTATTAAAGGAGAACAACACCTCTTTGATTTCCTCATCTTCAATATCTCTGATCATATGATTTGCTTGCTGCTCAGTGACCTTCTTAAGTGGTAGAGATCTTAATAATGCTCTTCTCTCTAGGGGAGGAGTAAGGTTGCTAGTAGTACCTAAAAGTCTCTGAAAATAGTCAATAGCTTCACCCTTAATTGCTTCCTCTCCATCAACCACTCTACCATTAGCAAATTCAAGTTTTAAAATCTTCTTCTTGTTCCTTCTGCAGTTCATAGATTTAAAGAAAAAAGCGGTATTTTTATCTCCCTCACTCAACCATAATATTATGGATTTCTGTTTATATAGGATTTCCTCGTTCCTTGCAGCCTCCAAGTAATCATTGAGTAAAAGTTTCTCCACCTGTCTAAGTGTTGAGTCTGAAGGGTTAAGGTCAAGTCTCCTTTGGCAATTATCAAGCAAAGCTTTCTTTTCTCTGACAACGGTAGCAAGCTCACCAATTTCGTTGTTCTTTTCTTTAAACACTGCTTTTAGTTTCTTAAGTTTAAAGCAAAGTTTGAATTGGTTAGATCCTTGAATAGGTTCCTGCCATACCTGGGTGACAATGTGCAGAAAATCTTCTCTGTCAGCCCAAAAATTAAAGAACTTAAAAGGGCACTTCTTCCTATTCGCCTCCTCTCCAATCTTCACCACTGTAGGACTATGATCAGATACTCCCGGGGGTAAGAATTCAGCTTCAGCTCTATCAAATTTTTGGATCCAAGCCTCATTTACAAGGGCTTTATCAAGTTTCCTTGAAACACAAGCACCTTATTCTCTTCTACTGCTCCAAGTGAAAAGCCCTGAGTACCTCAAATCAATAAGCTCAGCTTCTTGAACACAATCATCAAAATCCCCCATATCTTGCACCCATCTGTTCAGTCCGCCATGGTTCTCATTCCAGCTTCTTATAGCATTAAAATCCCCAATAACTAACCAAGGGTAGGATTTAAAGAGACCGGCATGGTAAACAAGATTTCTCCACAAGTCCTTCCTCTCATTTTCCTCATTTGAGCCATATACAAAGGAAACACAAAATTTAGTTGCAGTGTCCAAATGTACCACCTAACAGTGCACCACTTGATCAATTTTCGAGAGCTTAGTTACCATGACTAAGTTAGGATTCCACCCAATGCAAATCCTACCAAAAGTATGACTGCTGTAGTTTGCCAAAAACTCCCATTGTCTAAAAATGTTATTTCTGACAGCTAAAATATTTACACTTCTCACCTTGGTTTCAACAATCCCCACTAAATCAAGGTGGCTTTCAAAAACTAATTTCTTTACTGCTTCCTGCTTAGAGGATTTGTTAAGTCCTCTTATATTCCAGCAGGTTAACTTAATCATAGGAGAGGAGAAAGCCTGAGTTTGAAGGGCTCAGTCCCTTTATCTTTCCTTTTCCCAGAGGACTTTTTCTTAGCTTTTTTCTTCTTATTCTCCCCAGGTTGCTTACTTGCCTCACCATGGTTATGATCACAACTAGTTGCAGCATAGTCTAAATCCACCACCAAATTACCTCCCTCAATTTCCAACCTCTCAAATTTGTTTGAAGATGTAGTAGGTATAAACAGCTGAACTGGGACCTGCACTTCCACAGGAGAGATGGATGTCACCTGAGTTTCATCCTATAGTCTATGAATGGGTTGCCTGAGTATAGCAACACCAATTTCACTATTGATGCTACATCCATGATCTAATGGAGGCTTCTCTTTTGACATGACCATCTCCGTTGTTGGTTCCACCTCATTGGATATGATTTCCTTGCCATTGCCAGCAGCAAGAGGATGAGATTCCTTTTGGGAATGTTTAGGCTTCCAAATGGTCTTTGTCACCATCTTAGGACATGTGGACTCATTATGGCCGAATATATGGCAACTTTGGCACACTTTGGGCTTCCACTGATATTCAACTTGTATTTTCACCTTCTCATCTTTCCCCTCAACATTCACCCTGAGATCAAAAGAGCCAATAAGCCTGGTTTTGGCTTGAATTTCCACACACACTCTAGCAAAACTCAGTCTTTTCCTAGATGCAGTTAGTGTGTCTACATATAGTGGCTTGCCTATAGCACTAGAAATATAGCTTAGCCCCTCTTCATTCCAAAATTGGAGTGGAACATTGAATAGCTTAATCCACACCGGGATAACAGAGTGATCTTCTTTGGCAAGGATTATTTCTAGCTGTCATCTCTTGAGGATTAGAGGCCTCCCGGCAAACAACCAAGGTCCCCCTTCAAAAATAGCAGTCCTAGTCTCTTCACTCATGAACTTGAAAAAATAAAATCCTTTATCATTTGCTAGAACCTCTAACAATCCCATTTTTCCCCATACTTTATGGACAAGGAAATTTACAGAGGAGTATGGGAGTTTCTTCTCAATAAAATACCCAACTAGGCAATTTTGTCACTCAAGGCTTCCTCTCATACCTACCTCTTTCGGAGGTGATACCACAAGCCTCTCATTCTCTTTTAGTGGTTCATAGTATTTGAGTTTCATACCTGTAATTTGGGTTCCGTTGAAGGTCTTTGAAGCTTCTCCATCCAAACCAGATTTAAGAACCTAACTCTAAGATGGTATTTGGGGAGTTGGGCTTCTGCGCCTGGCAGTCAATACCTTACTACAGTGAGGTATGTTCTGGCTGTGTCTCAGCCCTTGAGATTAATTCACTATGCTGACTTTTTGACAACTCTAATGCATTTGGGGTAGCAACTTGTTAGGGAACAGAGACTTGAGCTGCATCTACATAACCGTGAGCTCTACTCGCCACACCATCTTACTTACTGGAAGATTCATTTGGGACCAATTCTGCAGCAATGGCTTGGCTTTACACCACTTCATGCTCAGTCATGAGCTGTGTATTCATTATTTTCTCATACGCAACAATTATGAGCTCATGAGAACTCATAGGAGATCTGGATTATGGATTAGATTAAGTATATATAGCTAGTGGATTAAAGATTTTACAATGGATTCAGAGGTGGGTGCGAAGGATTTAATGTAGGAAGGTTTAAAGAGGAGAGAGAGAGATGGGTATGGAAGAGGGTTTTAGAAACAAGTGGTCAGGAAATGAATTGATGAAAGATGAGGTTAATAGATGGGCCAAGAACTGTAGATCAGGCAAATAATGGATGGATTAAGCAAAGATAGGGACGAACAAGAGAATGGTGGGTTCAAGGAGGAAGAGAAAGCGGGAGAGCCATTGAATATCCTTTCTTTATCTGCCAAGATTTTAGCCCCTTCAAATTTCTCATTGCATCATGTAGTAATTGGAGCATTTGGAAGAACCTCATCCAGGAATGTAATGGGCAGGAAAGTAAAATTTTATAAGCGAATTTCTACCATTAGATCTAAGTTAGATAAATTTAGATAAATCTAAGATACGAAAAATTCAACATAAATTTATGCCTTAAAAGATTTAAAATGCCTTATCCCTTATTATTTAAATTAGCTGGTAAGATTTACAATGGGAGAACATTAGCTGGCAAGAAATGAAATGGAAGAGGATACCTGGAATGGTCTTAAGGGTATCGTACAAGGCTAGCAGTAGCGAATGAACCAACAAACAGTGACTCCAATACAAAACACTCCAATTTCGAAAGTACATAGAAAGCAAAGAGATTTAAGAGGGTACCCGAACTTGGTTTGCATAGGTATCTCCTATAGCATCTTCGATCCTTATTTTTTTATAAACTCAAATTTAAATTTAAGTAAAAAACTCTTAATTTTTTTTTTAATTCTATACCTAAACTCATAGCAAATTAAATAAGATTCAAATCCTTACTTAAATCTTTAATGATAAGATTTTACCCTTCTTTAAAGATCATATGATCATTAATAATGATATATTGTGGCTTGGGCTGCCCATTCAAAGCCTACACCTGATAAGTTCCTTGGTTACATGACAACCTACATGGCCTATTTGCAGCATGCCCACCCCACCATAAGAGTGGGCCACAACTCAAGGAAGGGAGTCCAATGGCTTCCAGATTGGTAATGTCTGCTCGGTCATATCAAGCTCGACAGTGAAGACTAGCTCGGGAACTAACAGCTTGGTGCGCGATAGATCCCAAGCCACTCCCAACGCATCACGTGTCCAGGGGACAGGGGAACAACTATTGGTGACCCTAATGGACAAATACTCCCTGGTAAAGGGAACATTGGTACATATCTTGTTTTGATGATCGTGAGCACAACGTACATCAAAATGGTAGACCTCGCTACAAGACAAATAAAAGAGGGAACCACAAAATCAATATGTGAGACCCAATCATGCATTGCATGCATATTAATATAATTTTGTGGGCTAAATTATAATTATATAAAATTATTAAATGGGTTAATTAAAGTAAATCTTTCATAAGCATGATGTGAGTATGCATACATTGGGTATGTGGACCCCATTAGTGAAGTATTAGTGAGACCCATTTATAAAAATTTCATGTGTGAAAATATTAGTGGGTCGATTTCAAAATTATTTAAAAATTTAGGGGGTGGCAAGAGTAATTAACCCATTACATGACACACCTTTACATGTGTTAGCTTAAGAAAAAGAAAAAAAAATAATTACGTGTGTGTGTGAGTGTATGTGTGTGTGTGTTTAAGGTGTCAAGTGTGTGTGTGTGTTAAATAAAATATAAAAAAGGTGTGTGTATGTGTGTGTGTGTTAAATAAAATATAAAAAGGGTGTGTGTATGTGTGTGTTTAACATAGGAAACAAAGTGTGTGTGTGTCTGATGAAGTTCTGGAACCGAGAGTGAGGTGAGCAAGAGAGAAAGGGAAAAAAAAAGAGAAAAAGAAAGAAAGAACGAAAAAAAAAAATAATAGGTGTGTGGTTCTTGAATCTGTGAGCAAAGGAGAAGAAAAAGGTATGTGGAATTAAGTTAAGCTTGAGTTGTGATTAATTTTAGTATGTACATATTTGTATATGTGTGGACTATTTTAGCATGTTTTAATTAGTAGGCTGTTTTAATTTAAATACATGAGCTGTCTTCTTTTAATTTTAATGGACTGTTTTAATTTAAATCTCATGGGCTAATTTAGTTAAGGTCAAAACAGATTTTTATGGGTATATTTAGCATAATTAACGAGTTGTTAAAAAAATAGGTTCCAAATGGGTATTAAAATAAAGATAAGAAAAATGTGGAATATGGCTATTTGAGATGTTCAGTATGTTTTTGAGGTCTAGGTTGGAACCAAAATTATGGGAGTGAAATGGGTGATTTAAAAATGCAATTAGTGGGACTGATTTTCATAATTTAGTGAATGGGGTGAGTTTAGGTATAATTATTTTAAAATAAAAGTACGATAGAAATTTGAAAAGGGTGTCGGTAACGCCGAAACCCTGATTTCTAAATGTTATTATCACATGTGCGAATGTTAATCCAAATGACTTGAAATTTTGCATGCAGCATTTTTAAATGATTCTTGATGTGATAATGTGACTTTTGAATGTAAATGAGTACAATATCCAGTGCAAAATGTATGAAATACCGAAAGTATAATTTTTAGGATTTGGGGTCAAAATGTGTGAAAATGGGGCCCCAGTCAATGTGTTTGACCTACTTAATCCTAATTGTGATTAATATGACTGATTTTGAGAATTTGGGGAGGAAATTTGATCTCTAGAATAAAAGTGGTAATGTGTAAGTAAATAGTGCGATAACTGGGGTTACTAGGGCACTTTGAGGTGCATGATTAACTATTAAATATAATAAACATATTGATATTGTAATTACAAATGTGTTAGGTGGAATGAGTGAGACAGTCGGTGTTGGAACAAATACGATGACACCGTAAGGATCAACCGATAGGACCGAAGAACTATAAATTTGTACATCTGAGATAGGTGTATATCTTTATATGTTTTGGAAATGCTATTATAAGATGATAATAAATGATAGAATTTAATAGCAATTTTCCAAGATTATGTGCTACGTGCTTATGTGATTGGATAATGTTTTGTATTGTGAATTGTATATTGTGGAATGTGGCACACTGTTTGAAACAAGGGCGTCAATGCCTGGTCATTGGGCATGTAGTGATGTACTAGCACTATGGTGTTCCCGAGAGGTTCAGGAGACACAGATCCATGTGGGATCGATTACCCGATGAGGGGTAGTATGGATGCGATGTGTCTTGTAAATTCTTTAGAATTGGATTGATGTTGTTGTTTGATACATGTATCTACGTAATATCTACCTACTTCAGTGTATTACTATCATTTCCATTTCATATACAGCAGGTATACTCACTGTGCGCGTGGTTTAGCTCACACCCCTACAACTTCTTCTTTTCTAGTACTATAAAAGAGGATACAAATCGGTCCACTGTCTAGTTGATTAAGTCTTGTGCAATGATAATGTGATATCACTCAGGTTGAGTGTCAGTATGACTAATTTCTGGGTTGTGTATTATATTTATGAGAGATATTTATGACAGGTTAATAGTATATATTTGTAAATAGACTCAACAAGCATACTTTGTGATATATGCTATGTGGCTGTGGAATTTTGTATATGTCTATAACCTGAAAAATAAATAATTGGTACATGAGTTTATATATGGTACAGGTTATAAGACAGGTGTTACCATCATGCTTAATAACTAAGGTGATGAGTGGTGTTGTTACACCTGTAGGATTATATCATGTTTGATTAGTCCAGCTTATAATAATTGTAAACAGATGTATTAAAAACCTAGTCACATCTCATCCTTGGGAGACTGGGATGGGGCGTGACAACTTAGTTGGTATCAAAGTTAGAGTTTATAGTTCAATAGTCAAGTTGAGTCTAGCGTGACAGTGGAGTTAGGAATTGGTCTGTTAGGTGGGGTGTTAGAGGTCCGTGTGAGTGTGTGGAATATATACTAAATGCTATCATGACCCATATGCAATACTTACATTTGTTATAGTGATACATGGAGGGAGAAGGGTCATCTACTTGGGCTAGAGAT